AGACCTTCAAATATAGAGGAAAGGAAATTAAAATGACACGATTATCCTGCACCCATCAGAAACTGCAGGAAGAAGCAGAATAGTTTGCTCCAAAGAGCGAAGGAGTTGAAGATGCAGTCCAGCATGACATACCCTGCAAACCTGACCCTAATTATTAATGAGGAAAAGATGAGATGTTCAGTTAAGAAAAGGAAAGTTTGAAATATTTGAAGCAGACATCAAATAGAGGTGATAGGGAAGAAATAGGCCTGAAATTATAGGCAACACTTTACAGTACCCCACTTCTAGGTGAATCAGTGTCTTGTTTTGGTTTTTCTGGTGAAGCTAAATTACAGATTGAGAAGGTGCATAAAAAGGGGAAGGGGAGGAATATGATAGAGGGGAGTATGTGATGCACCCTAATCAACTCAAACCTAGCAATGAAGGGAAAATAATTTGTCTAGGCTCTTAGGAATAAGAGAGCCTGTAGGAGAATGGGCAGGGAGGCAAAGGGAAAGAACATCAGAACAGGGAAAGAAAGGGAGAAATCCTGTTTCAGTGGTGGGAGGGTATACTGTGCTATCATGGAAGAAGAGATTCTATACAGGGAGTTAGGGACCTTACAATGGGTATTATCTGCAGAGATTGGGTGCTTAGAGAGACCACTCATTCTACTTTTGGAGAAAGGAAATCAGGGCCGCTGGGGACAGTCCACATCCAGAAGAATATAAGGGCGTGGACCAAGGGAAGGGATTCCATGGTTATTAGGGAAAAAAAATAACCACAGGGTGGGTAAAGGTTAATCATGAACACACAACTAGGGACATAGGAAAATTCTTACCATGGACCAGTATCCTTTCTATCATCTGCTTTCTAAGAGTGAGGAGGCACAACAGGAAAAAGGGATCAGGGGACAAGATCCACAAGGCATTAAAATAGAAACTGTTTAGAAGCAGGAACCCAGCATAGTTACCTCAGAAGCTTTTATTCCATGTGGAATTGAGATTAAAGAAAGACTTAGTATAAGGGCCATGAATCGAAGAATAAAAGTCTAGAATGAACAAAAAGGGAAGGTAAATAATGAAGAGGAGGGAAGAAACTTTTTTTTAAAGGCATAGAAAATAAAATTTAATGAACAAATTGAAGGGGGGGGAGGAAGTGTGATTTTACTTGACTGCTTAAATGAGAGGAGAAAAGAGCAGGAGAATTAACTACATAAAATAAAAGGAACTAATAAGTAAACTTCCAGACTAGAGAAAGGGGAAACAAATGTAATGGGAGGGGAAGTGCTTGAGGAAGGAGATATGAGAACCAGTGAGAATAGGGTTGCTTTAACATAGATTAATATAATTGAAGGGACAAAAGTACTGTTTACAGAGGAATAGGGGGGAAATCCTAATTGGAGAAGAAATATTAGAGAACAATGGAGGGCAATATAATCTTAACTTATAACTTTAAGTGTGAATGGATTAAACAAAAAAAAAGAAAGAAAAAGAATGATAGGTTGGATAACAAAGCCCAACTCCATAATTCATTGTTTACAAGAACACATTTAAAAAACAGACATATACAGAATAAAAATGAGGGGCTAGAAAAAAAAAATTACTATGCATCATGTGAATCCCCAAAAGCAGGGACTCCTGCTGTTAGATAAAGATAGTATTAGATTGAATGAATAATCATGCTGTTAGACATTCATTACTATCAGACATTGCTAGTAGACATGCTATTAGACATTCAGAAACATTCAAAACATAAGAAGGGATAAAGAAAGAAGCAGTGCCAAAAAGGAACCATAGACAAACAAATATCAATATTAAACTCATATCTAATTTCGTAAAGAAAAAAAATAACTACAAGAAGACAATAATATAAAGTAACAGGAGATTTCAATGTTCCTTTCAGTTTTGGATTCTTTTAAATGGGACAGTTAGAGAATATATATATTTCCCAGCACTACATGGAACTTTTACAAAAATTGAACGTGTATAAGGGCACAGATCTATTGTAAGTCAGTGTAAAAAGGCAGAAAGTGTAAATACATCCTTTACAGACTATTACTGCAATAAGAATAGTAAGTTTAGAGAGCACAAAGACATAGGCAAATGGAGACTTAACAATGAAATTCTTAATATTGAGTGGGTCCATGAACAAATCATAGAAACAATAATGAAATGAAAGAAAATAATAATAACGATTACATAACATACCAAAATTTCTAAGAGTTTTCATAAGGAAATATCATATCCCAACAAAGACACATTAACAAAATAGAAGAGAAAATTAATGAACTGCTTGTATTTTTTTAAAAATTGAAAGCAAACATCTAAAATAAACACAAAAGAGAAGATGTTAAAAATTAGAGGAGAAATAGATAAACTGGAAACTAAAAAAGCTATAACAATGATAAATAAGATTAAAAGCTTGTTCTTTAAAAAACAAAACAATAAAATTGATAAATCTTTAGCTAGTCTGATTAAAGAGGGCAGAAAATAAAATAAGCAAAATAGCAAATAAAAAAGGCAAAATCACAACAAAACCAGAAGACACAAAAATAATTATGAGGGCCTTTTATGCAGTTATATGATACAAAAACTGAGAACAAAAAAGAAATAGAGATTTTCTGCAGTGCAGGAAGAAGAGGGTAGCAGTTGAGATACCCATAAGAAACGCACGAAGAGAGCCAGCAGTAAAATCTGTGGCCTCAGATATATATGTACACAAATGCCCAAAGAGCTCCTAATTCAGAAATCCAGGAATTAGAGAGGGGGAAAAGTGAGGTGAATATTTGGGTGAAGGTCTGTGAAAGAGTAAATAGAGGTGATTTATTATTGGGGTATTCTACAGACTATCTGGACAGAAAGAGGAAATAGACAAGTTTGGGGAACAGCACTACGCTTAGACTTTAACATCATAGGCCTGGTTGTGCTTACAGAGGAAGAGCAGTACCACTGAAAGGAACAAAGATTAGAAAAGCCACCTGATTGAAATAAGTATAGGTAGAGCAGATATGTGCTGGAGGTGATTAATTGTGAGTACTTTGGGGAATTAATTTACATTGTATCTGAAGGAGAAGATACCAAAGACATAGGGGAAAAAGCCTTTATTAATTCCCATCACTATCCCCACCCAGGCAACCAAGAGAATTTCAACTACTTTCCCATTTATATAAAATCTTTAAGATTTATCTGCAAAACCATCAAAGACATTCTCACTGATAGTAGAGAGCAGGTTTTCACAAGCAATATTGTACAATGGACTGCATCTTTACCATCATGAAACTTAAGGAAAAATGTAAAGACCACAAATTTATACTGAACTTATTGCTGATTATGAAAGAGCTTTTGATTTGAGCCACCTTAAATGCTCTCTTTCAGCAAGGTGTCTCCCATTCATAAATCAGAATCATTTAAGATTCATTGAAAGATACAACAACAAATAATGACCTTATGCACCTACAGTGCCTTAACTGCCTTCTCACTCTGGAACTACTCTCAGCACCTGCGGTACCCTCGTCTTGAAATATCTCTCCTGCTCTGTGATCTCTTCCTTTCGTTGCTGAGTTCCTCCTGGGGCCTCTGTTTTGGAAAAGGGCCCAGGCCAGCCTCCCTTCATTTCCCTCCTGGCTTTGCCTCTGATTGCCATCGTGGGGCCGTGTGAGTACCTACTCTCCCTCTAACCGCCATTTTAGCTCTTCTGTTGTCTTTTTCTATTAGAATGTAAGCTCATTGAAGGCAGGGGCCAGCTTTCTTTGTATTTGTATGCCTAAAGCACAATTCTTGGCACATAATAAGTACTTAATAAATGCTTATTGATGGACTGTTCAACAACCTAATCATAATCCTCAGTTGAGACATGAAATTGATTCAGCACACATCCGTGTTGAAAAGGGATGTATATTGTATGTATCTTGAGATCTTACAGATGTTTCTGTTTGTAGGTGAAATTGTGCTGGTTTCACCCATCCCTGGAATATCCCTGGGAAAGATCCGAAGCCATTCCAAAGAGTTGACCTTACCATCCATGTGGGAAAGAACAAGTGGTTGTGACAGGAGTTTGGATAGACAGCCCTTAGAGCTTCTCCATCAGTGTGTGTATCTGAGGCAAACAGTACAAATGTACAGTATCCTGGTTCACAATTAAATAGGAAGAGAGGAGAAGGAGAACAGGCTGGATTTTATTCAGGAAATTGTAAAGCTCCTTCAATGCTCCATCCCCTTCTCCCAGAGTCCCATGATTTTAATACAAAATGTGGAATATAGTCTATGAATAATTGGAAAATAGAGATGTTCATGATAGATCCAATTAGACTTCAATATATAATCAATGATGAATTTTTAAGAGTAGGAGTAAAAGGTATATTTTTTCTTGGTTGGTATCTTCCTGGATTACTCCTGGGATGTTTGTACGTACGTGCGTGCGTGTATGTGTATGTGTGTTGCTGACCCTCTTCCTTTTGGTTGACTATCTTTCCATTCCTTTGTGGTGGGTGAGTGCATGTGTCTGTCTGTCCCTTCCTCCCTCCCTCTCTTTCCTTTCCTTTTGGGGTTTGTGTATGTTTCTGTCCATCTCTCCCTCTTTTTTTGGGTGCCTCCTTTTTTTTTTGGTTTTATCCTCTCCCAATACGTGAGTGTATTCGTTCCTTCCTGATTTTTTCTCTTCTCTTTGTTTTTCTTACCTTCTTTCACTTTCCCATTCTCTTTTTCTCTCATCTCTTTTCTGGTCTTTCTGGCCAGTATATGGAACTGAAGTATCTTTTTTATTAGTTTTAAATATTAAATTAAAGCTTTGTTTTCCCATTCTTAATTTCAAAAACGTGTGAGTGAATATTCTATTACTTTAAAGCAAAAAAGAACTAAATTAAGTTTTTTACACAAGTGCAGCTTTCAAATGAAAATTTTTTCATTTTGGATAGGTTCCTTCAGTTCCATTTCTGAAAATCATTTTTTCTTCTCAAATCAAGATATGGAATAAACTTACATGTGGCAAGTGTTTATGAGGGTTTTTCTTCTCCATTTTAGAAACTCCAATAGCAAAAATGATCGTAGGAACCGAAAATTTAAGGAAGCCGAGCGACTCTTCAGTAAATCCTCAGTTACTTCAGCAGCTGTAAGTGGGGTGAGACTAGTGATACATTTCTGATGGTTGACTAACCATCAACCCAGGTGAAACTTAGATCAGTTTTTTGGCCAGTTCTCTGTTAAAAAAAATACTTTTTTTGTATTTGATGTAAAATTTTCACATTTTATTTTAAAAATTCATATTTTTCCCAAATAAATCTGTTTAGCCAAATGCTGCTTTTCTTAAATGAATGGTTTTTGTAATACCCAGATTAAAATCTAATTTCTTTTTTATCCGACTCTTTTATCAATGAGTTTTTTGGTTTCTTTCTCTTTTAGGCAGTCAGTGCATTGGCTGGAGTTCAGGACCAACTCATTGAAAAAAGTAAGTTTTTTTGTTCTTAGGATCTGATCATCCTTGCGCGTAAATGTTAAATCCTTGCAGTTTCTTTGAGAAACCCAGAGGAGGCTGTCATGCACTTTTATTTCTATTCAAGTACAGACCCCTACAGGTACTATGAGAGAGAGAGAAAGAGAGAGATTGATTGCACATTCTTCCTTACCTCTCTTATTACTAGGAAGGTGGGCTCAAAAACCTTTCTGAAATTCTCTGAAGAAACACAAGTATGTGACCCTCTTTAAACCCACTGAATTAAAGGTATTGAAGAATTTTTATTTCAGAAAGAGGCATCCTGGTGAAATGGAAAAGGCCTTGGGCTTGGAATCAGCAATCCTAGATTGTGGGCCTAGCTGTACATAATCTCGGCTAGTTCATGTAGCATCTCTGAGCTTAGTTGCTCCCTCTTCAAAATGAAAAGTTTGGGTCTCCAGTGTTCATTCTAGGTCTTCCATATTCAGTGATACCTATAAATCTTGTGTATAAAATGGAGAAAATACTTATCTTTGCCCTTATTAGATGGTGGATGCTTTGAAGGACAACACTATGCAAATATGAGCAACTTTTATCATTTAATGAATGGAAACAATACTTTGATTCTATTTTGACTTCTGAAACAGTGATTAGAGATGGATCTATCTTTGTACTTCAGTTTTTGGAATTCTCCATGTTGTAGCTTCTTGAAAATCAGTATATCTTTAGAGGATCAGCTTTTCATGCAAATTCAAGGATGAAGGGAAACCAGCAGAACAGAGAGAGAGATATTGACTTGGGAGATGATTGTTTTCTGTAGGTCATTCACTTCCTCCCTGCTGCCATGGTTGGCATCATATCCCGCTGATAAATGTAGGATGAGAAGTTCTGTCTTATAGGGTAATAGAATACTAGGTAAGGATGCTTTTTTATTATTATTATTCTAACGGGAGAGTATAACAGAATTAGGTCATGTGAATACTTTTCACTAGAATTAGATACCTACATTAACAGTGATATACAAGGTAATGAATTAATTCAGGGCAAAAGAGTGCTTATTAAACCAGGCTCTCAAACCACTTTATGAAAGAGTACATGTCAAAGCATTGTAAATTAGTATGATTTATTTCTTCTGTAAATGACTAGAATTTAAAGATCATTCAGAAATGTGGTTCTTCCCATTAGACCGCTTTCAACATCTCATGGAAACCATATGTAAGGAAGAAAGATTAACTGATTAACAGTCCTTTGCAGTAGACATATTCTTGAAAAAATATATATAAATTGAATAATTTTAAATATATTAGGATATATATACACACACACATATATATACACGCGCGCACACACACACATATATAAACATTTTTGTAAGGAAAAGTTCTTTTGTAATGTATTTAGTGAATTGGTGTTCTTAAGATAACATGTATCTGTTTCTTCCTGACCTTTGTTCCATATGCACATGAATAAAAAGGGCCTGGTTTAAATTTGTATTTACTTTAATCTTTGACTGTAAGCCCCCTTCTCTTCCTGTCTGCTGAATTCTGACTAGATATTTCAAGACTTAAATAACCTAATATTTTGATCACTTTTCAGTCATAATAGAAAATTTGAGGTATACTCACCTAGTGTAATAAATAAGGAATCCAAAAATATTCAGGTGGGAAAAATGGAAAATAAAAGTGTTTATAGGAAAAGTGAGTGTTGGAAGAGACTGGAGGAAATTATGAAGTTAAAAAGATATATTATTGCATATTTGAGCTCGAGTTGTGATAATTTTCTCATTTGCTATGTTTTGTTTTCCAAAATCTTTTCATTTTAAAGGTTTTTTGTTACTTATTGAAAGACAACTGTCCTTGAAATTGCTGTGAAACAGTTTTTTGTTCATTACATCAAAAATTGGTATCTTGAGAGACAGCTGTAAATTGAGAGCTTTTTTGGAGGAGTAATATTCAGGTGACCTGTATCATAAGATCAGGTAATCAAGATGGATTTATTAAGCACCTGCTATGTGCCAGGTGCTCTGCTAGGTGTTTGGAATCAAAGATAGATTCCTATGCATAACTCATCGAATGAGATATTTATTTCTAAAGAATTGACCATATTTCCCTTTTTACTTGCTTTACTGTAAGATAATTTAATTTATAAATGCCATGCATGTGTACTATCCTATAACGTATAATGTGTGTGAAGATCTCTTATTGAAAACATGTATATGTACACACACATATATATGTATATATATCACCTTGGAACTTATGTCTAAGCATCTTAGTATTAACAGTGGTTTAGTTATGGGAGGGAGAAAGATCTTGGGCATGTCAACTTCTCTCCTCTAGGTCCCAGGTGTTTTTTTTTTTAATGAGAAGATTGAACTGGTTGGTTTGAAGGGATCTTAGGGTCCCTTTCAGCTCTAACCTTCTGTTATTCCTTCATTGTACTTATTTCATTTGGGGCTTTATCATGATGCTTGTGGAATGTAATTAAATCTCTACATTGAAGCCCTAGTTTAACAAAATAATTTTGAAAGTTTGTGATTTATGAAGAATTGTTTGTTCGCTTTAGACATCTCTGTGTACATAACTCAAAGCTATATCCATGGCCTTAGTATGTAGAGCTCTTTTTTTGTATTTCTAGCTTCTTATTTGGACATTTTTACTTCTATAGATTTAACTTGTCTGTAACAGAAGTGCTAGTTTTTTCTTCAGAACGAGCTTTCCAGCCTAATTTTTCTTAATAATAGTACCTGCTGTCTCCTGGTCACATAAATTGGATAACTTTGGGTTATGCTTTACTCCTCTGTCTTCCTAAATTCCTGTGTCCCATTGTATGAACAAATCCCATTTTCTTCTTTCCCAGTCTCAAATCAGACTTTTGTTTCTTTTCTGTTCCTATTGACTGCTACTGAAGTTTAGGCTCTTAACTGATACTCAAACTGCATTTATATCCAAATGTGTATGCCTTTGAAGTAGTTTAGGAAGCTAAACACTTATTCCAGTAATGCTGTTACTGCTCTCAACACTTTTAGAGTTCTTTTCCAACTGCATTCAGAATTTCTAACATGTTCTTTTGGCCATCTTCAGATGTGGCAAATCTGATGGGTGTCATTTTGGAAAGTTGCCAAAAATAATTTGTAGTGAATCCTGGTGAGTAAACAGTCAAGCTGAATACCATTTTTTTTTTGTTCAGACATGTGACAGCAAACATACCATGAGCAGAAGTGTTGTCATGAAACAAATATCAGGCTTCAGTTTACTCCTTTTTACGTTGTACAGAATCTCTCAAAAGTCTCAGTTTCCACATAAGTCTAATGCACCTATCCTTTGGAGCGGATTTTGGTTGACTAGTGCGTTTGGTGTTCAGATCTCTAGTGAAAATTTCTCTTGGTCTGTTCCTCTCACATACTTAGGACAATGGCGTTTCTCCCTGGAGACTTGAGTCTTTTTTTCACCATAGGCTAAATTGGAGGCATCATGTTTCACCACTGGCTATCGTTTCTCTAGAACATGCAGCATTTTGTTTAATGTCTCTGGAGCAAATAAAACACACGTCTAGTCTTCCGTTGCTGCTTATTTGAATCTGAAACATATACACATATTATCCCTTCTGTGTGACATCATCTTCATTGAAACTTGATGTTGATTTTCTTTCAGAGTGAACCTGTCTTTATCTAAATTTAGCTACTTGGCTTTCTTTATCATAATTTATTATCTGTTTGAATGAACCCAATTTCTAATTTTTCATTAGCTCTCTAGACAACTAGACAGCCATTTTGTGCCATTATTATGGAGGTATTTAATAAATTAGAATCACTAATTAGAGCTGGCAAGGGATCTTTGAGAGCACCAGTTCAACTGCCTTATTTTACTAATGAGAAAACTGAGGTTTTCTAGCCATACTAATGAGGCGCTGTGATGGCGTCCAGACTGGAGACTTCCCCCTGCCCACCCAGCATTCTCTGGCATGCTCACCTGCTACTGCTGCCTAACCTTGTATGCCCAACGTACATCTTCTTTTTGAAGTTCTTTTGTTCCCATACACTTCTTTACCATGTCAGATGTTTTCCTTGCAGATTTAACTTCATACAAGCTTTGATATTCTTTGCTCTAAATAAGTTGCTCATTTTTATGTGGACACAAAGCATTATTATGCCTTGTTCTTCATTATAATAGAAAGTTGATTGGCTGACATTGCTGTGTGTGCCACATAGCCCTCTTTTATCATTTATCTTCTACTTGCATAAACCATACAGTAATATAGTTTTCCTTACTTTGCAGTACTCAAATAGCTTTCTAATAAACTAATATTTAATAATAAAATAACAATAGCTAGTACTTATAAGAGCCCCATTTAAAAAATAATTTTTAGTGGTATTTTCAGTTTCTTATATCACCATAATATCCCATGTATCTCTTCCTCTCCTCAAGAGCCATCCCATATGACAAATAGGAGGGGTGGGGGTAGATAGGAAAAAAAAAATCAGCATAACTAATCATTACATTGAGGAAGTCAAAACATGTGCATTGTGTAATAGCTGTGGATCTCCCACCCCCACCAAGGGATATTTTGGGGGTATCTTTTATATTTCTTCATCTGAATCCTGCTTGATATAATTTTGTTAGATTTACTTTTGGGTTTTTTTGTGTGTCATTGTTCTTTTCATTTACAGTGTTATATTATTGTGTATATTATTTTCTTGGCTCTACTTTACTTTGCTGTGCCTCAGTTCACATAGATCTTTCCAAGCTTTTCTTGTCTTCATCACATGCATCATTTCTTACAATGCGGTAATATTCCGTTGCATTCAGTTTGTTTAGCCATTCTTCAATTGATGGTCATCTGCTTTGTCTCCGGTTCTTAGAAATCACAAAAAATGCTGCTCTCAAATAGCACTTTAAAGTTTGCAAAGCACTTTACATACCTTATCTCATTTGGTCCTCATAACCCTGGAAGGTAGGGGCTGTCATCCCAATTTTGTAAATGAGAAAACTGAAGATGAAACAGTTAAGCGACTGGTCCAGAATTACCCAGCTAAGTAAATCTCTGTGGCAGAATTTGAGCTTAGGTCTTCCTGAATCCATGTCCTCACTCTCTCCACTGTGCCACCTAGCACCTTCCCTATGCTAGCTACTGGGCTAGATGCTGAAGGTACAGAGATAAAAATGAACTCTCTCTGTCCTCAAGGAGCTTACATCCTATTGAGAGACACACCATTAACAAACAAATACAAATTAAATACAAGGGAGAGACAGTGTCCTAGAGGCTGGGAGAGCAGGAAAGAATAATGTTAGTCGTGTCACTTGAGTTGAGTCTTGAAGAAAACCATGATTTTTTTTCTTTTATAAAAAATTATTTTTTATTTTCCATTCCATAATTTTCCCTACTCACTGAGAAGGAAAGAAATATAATACTAGTTATACATATGTAGTTATGCAAAATACATTTCTTCATTAGCTGTGTTTAAAAAAAGGCAAGAAAAATAATGAAAGGAAAAAATAAATATGTTTCAGTCTGTTCTCTGAGTCCATCAGTTCTCTCTCTGGGTAGCGTTTTTCATCATGAGCTATTTGGAACTGTCTTGGATCAAAGTAGATTAGTCATTCACAGTTGATCATCATTGCAGTGTTGCTGTTATTGTGTTCAGTGTTCTGGTTCTGCTCACTTCACTTTACATCAGTTTATATATAGGGATAAGTTATGGGGCGGGGGGGGGGGGCGGAGATGCATTCCATACATGGTGAGCCCAAGGTAAAAGGTTTAGAGCTGGAAGGTGGAGTGTCATTGTGAACAGCAGGGAAACTAGTTTGTATAGACCCTAGGGGTGCCAACCTGCCTTTTTAATTTTATCCTCAGCTATTAGAACTGCCCTTTTTAAGCCTTAAAAATCTCCTTTTTCCAGGTGGCTCTGAAGACCCCATTTTATTGCTTTACTGATTTTGCTTATTCTGTTCCTCCTTCATGGCATGCCCAACCTCTTCCTTGTACCTGTCTTACTCATACTTCTTCTTACTTATATTTCATGATCCAGGTCCAGTCTTATCTCTTCCATTAAGTTTTCCCTGGATGTGTTTTTTATAATGACTTTTTTGTTAATTTATTTTGATTTATCAGAAATCACTTCCATAAACTTTGAGTTTTAAATTTTCTCCCTCTCCCTTCCCAAGACTGTGAGCAGTCTGATATAGGCGCTACACACACACACACACTCACTCTCCTAGTAAACATATTTTCACATTAGTGATGTTGTAAGGAAGTATTAGAACCAATAGGAGGAACCACCAGAAAGAGGAAACAAAACAGAAGGAAAAAAAATAGCAAATAGTGTGCTTCGATCTGCATTCAAACTCCATAGTTCTTTCTTTGGATGTGGATAGCATTTTCTATCATGATACTTTTGGAGATGTCCCTGGACATATTTTGAAGTAACCTGTCTCTTCTCAAAACTCCTGTAGCATTTGTTGTCCCTGTCATTTATTCATTTGGAACTTATTTACTGCTTGTTTACTCCCTCTCCCCAATTAAAATTCCTTTTTCTGGAAATGTGAGTTAGGTGATTATCCTATCAATCTAATTAAAGGCCTCCTTACTTCCCTCCCTACACACTCTCTAGGGCAGGGGTGTGGAACCTTGAGCCTTCACGTGTGCCCTCTAGATCCTCAATCCAAACTTCCAAATCCCTTTAATGAAAGAATTTGTTCTGTGAAGTTTGGATTCAGTCAGAGGACCATACTTGATGACCCTACCCCTGCCTCAGGCAAGAGAGGGTAACATAGATCTCCCTGCTGGATCTGAAGGGTCTCTCAAAAGAGGGAAAGGGTTCAGAGATGCAAGATAGAATCAGTCTCCTCCCCTGGGTCTCCTCTAAGTTGTGAGTAAATTTCTTTGTAAGGCTGTTTGATTAAAATATTTTGTATCTGTCCTTTAAAAGAAAAGATAAAATAGATACTTTTGACTACATGAAATTGAAAAGGTTTTACACAAAATTAATACATCTAATTGAAGAGCAAAGATTGACTTGGGAAAATCTATGTATTAAATATATAAGATAATATATAGAAATAGAAAAGACAAAAAGCTGTTTCCCAATAGAAGATGGTCAAAAGATATGAACAGTTTTCAAAAGAAGAATTGCAAACCATTAACAACTGTATGAAAGATTGTTCCAAATTAACAGTATTACCAAATTACCAGAAATGGATCAAAACAACTCTGAGATTTCACCTCAAACCCAGGAAGTTAGTAAAGATGACAAAAGGTGTGAAAAAGCTTTGTAGGGGCTGCAGAAAGATAATCAATACATTGTTGGTGGAATTGGGAATTAGTTAACCAGTATGGACAGCAGTTTGGAATTAGGCTAAATATTGACTGGTCTGTCCCTACTCTTTGATGCAAAGATCTCACTTCTAGGCATAAACCACAAGAAGATCAAAAGACAGAAAATACTCTGTATACATCAAAATATTGATAGCAGCACTTCTTACGGTAGCAAGAATTAGAAATAAAGTAGATGCTCAATCCACTGGAGAGTGTCTAAACAAAGTCTGGTGGATGAATATAATAGGATATTACTATGCTGTAAGATAAGGCAAACATGGTAAATACAGAGAAGCATGGGAAAATGTAGGTGAGCTGATGCAAAGTAAAATAATATACCATGTAACTAACACAATATAAATCAGTGGAAAGAACAACTATCACAAAGCAATTGAAATGAAATGTTGCATGATATTAAAGGCCAAGATTGGCTCCAAAGAAGAGATATGAGAAGATACTCGCTCCCACTCCTTGGAGGGGTCTACCAGTGTGGAACATTGCATATAGCATTATTTTCCCATGTGTTGATTTTGCTAATTTTTTTCCTTTCCTCTTTTAAGAAAATTATTTGATGCTTGGAAAAATGTAGATGATGTAAAAAGATATCAGTAAAGATCTAGACAATATAGCAAGGTTGACATATCTTGGTTGTAGGTCTCTGTCCTCCAGTGTCTTCAGCTTTAATGTTTCCAATTACTTGGTATTTTTTAGGAAGCTAAGTAACTTGAGCTTCAACTTCTAATCTTCTTTCTCCAATCAGCCAGTCAACAGGCATTTATTAAGCACTGTGGTGGTGGGTGCTGGGGATACTGATGCAGTGAATGAAACAGTCTGTACTTTCAAGGAGCTCATGTTTTATCCTCAGGCAGAGTGTAAATTCTTTGGGGTGAAAGTAGTGCCTGCCTGGTAACAGGCCTTTGTGAACTCTGTTGGCTGAGGGATCCTGAAGAGGTTCTTCTGAATTTGTCTGTCACTCCTACAGGGGAGCCAGGCAGTGGTACAGAGAGTGACACATCTCCAGACTTTCACAATCAGGAGAATGAACCCAGCCAGGAGGACACAGAGGATCTGGATGGATCTGTGCAGGGGGTGAAACCCCAGAAGGCTGCTTCCTCCACCTCTTCAGGGAGTCATCACAGCAGCCATAAAAAGAGGAAGAACAAAAACCGACACAGGTTAGTGGTGTTGGGGCCATTCTCCAGGGCTGAGGGGATGATTATTTCAAAGGGATATTTTTGGAATACAGATTCTTGGGTGCTGTTGTTGGGGATTTGCATTTTTGCAATCAGAAGGAAGGGCCTCTGCTACAAGTAATATGGCCTCATTTTTTTTTTCTAAATTGATGGATAACAAGGCCAGCAATGCAGAAGGAACCCAGTTTTTTGGATTTTGGGTAGAGAATAGCAGGTGTAATTTGTGTAGAAGAACCTGTATTAAATGAAAATCCTATGTGAAATGCTGTATTGGGGTTATTTTTCAATTGAGGGAAAAGGGAGTAGGATAGACGAAGGCTCTGAGAACTAGCCAAACACATTATTTTTAAAATGGCATTTGAGTGATTGCTTGTGCTCCCTCCTTCCTTGTCCCACTCCCACTCATTTCTCTGCAATATACTGAAACATATTGAAGTATTGGAGTCCAAAGCCCTATTAAATAAGAGTGTGCCTTCCCAGATAACATTTGTCAACATTACTTTCTGAGGTGTGAAATGAAAGATAACATCAGCAGTCTGTAGAAGGCAGATATTAAGAAAGGAGGATTTAAGATTGCTGTCAGCTTTTGATTACAAATGATAATGTTGTAAACCATTATAACTCATAACTGAAAATAATGGACAGTCCATTCAAAAGTGTTGCCTTCTTGTAGAAGAGAAAGTTGCCATGGGAGAGAGAAGTGAAGTTGTAGTTCGAAACCTTTTGTGAGTCAAAGAATCCAGACCTAAAGAAAAAATGTCAATAGCATTACCTTAAGGCTCCTCAAGCATCGTTCCAGTGAAATTCCTTGCAGCCTCTTTGCTCTGAAGGCAGCAGGCAGCCTCTGGGTGAATGTACTTAGTCAGTGAGATCAGGAATACCCCTCACTCTTGATGGCTTGGTAGGTTATAGAATGTAGAAGGTTTGAATGGGGAGAGAGCCTTTTGAGATCATTGAATCCATCCTCCTCCTTTTATAGCTGAAAATAGGATAAGGGATTCACCTGAGGTCAAGTGGCTAGTGAAATGGCAGAGCCAGGACTGGAAGCCCCACCTTCTGATTTGTCGTCTAGCCTTCCTTCTACTACCTCATACTTCCGATTGTTGTCTTTGGAGATTGAAATTCTGTAAGTGAAAGTGGTTTTTTGGAAACCTTGGAAAGCAGCAGATTTTTTCATAATTCTTTTAATTTTAAGATTGCAAAAAGGGGAAAAAATCCCTCCATGCAACTCTAATAAGAAGTCAACACATTAACCTCTTAACAGTGGTAGGAAGTAGCAAAAATTACCTCTGCTTTCTGGGGCCACCAGTTATGTCATCACTGTCCTGGTTTATCACCAATAGTACCAACAGATGCATTTTGCATCTCTCTCAGATTTAATTTCTGCTAGGAGCTTACCATTCTCAGATTTCTTTCTCTTGTCCAGGAAGTCAGATACAAAGGTTATGGTGAGGCTTGCTTTGGGACTTTCTTAGATAGCTACTAAGTGTTATGTGAATCCTCAAATAATGGTTCTGTCTTTATATTGAATGAGAGAAAAGCTCAATCATTTCTAAAGGGCCTTATTTAGTTTGTGGTGATGGGGATTCCTAAAATTGCTTATGTTTGTTTCAAGTGACACCTTATTTTAATTGAATATTATCAGTAGTCACTGAACTCAGAAGGGGGTGTAAAGTTGAGGGGAAAATAACAAAAGAAGGAATGTAGGAATTTGAGATGGATAAGAGGAAAATTGATGCAGTGGAGTCACTGTTTGTTGTCCATTTTACACTCCATATATCCAGAGGCCTTTCTCTCCATGTTACAGTAAATAGGCACATAACTTTCTTCTCCTGGCAGCTGCATTGCTGCCCTCTGTTCTTCTCTCCCCTGACTTGCAGCTGAGTGTTTGAGCAATACAAGTTATTTGCGCATATTTTTAAATACTCAAGATGTGAAGAACTAGCTAAATTTTGCCCTTTTAAAAACTTCTCAACAAGCATTTGCTAATCATTGTACATGAAGCATTGTGCTTAGCACTGGGGACCAAAAAAAAAAAAAAGGACAAAAAGGTTCTGCCCTCAAGAAGCGTGCTTCAAATGGGAGTGAAAACATGTCAATAACTAACTAGTCGTGTGGAATAAATGGAGTGTCATCTGAAAGGGGTAGCATTCGAAGGAGGGGTACCAGGAGAGGCTTCCTGCAGCAGGTGAGCAGAACTACAGACACTAAGAGGTAGATGTACATACAGGATAAACTGGACATGATCTTGGTGAAGGCACTAGCATTAATGAGGATTGGGAAAAGCTTCATGTTGAAGGTGGGATTTTAGCTGACATGAAGAAACCCAGATAAGCCAGTAAAAGCCTAGAGATGGGAGGTGGGAGATGGGTCATGGAAGTGTCATGTTCAGGGCAGTGCAGGCAGGCCAGTGGGACTGGGTTGCAGAGTGTGGAGGGGAATCAAGTATGAGAAGCCTGGCAAGGGAGGAAGGGGCCGGGTAAGAAGAGTTTCAGTTGCCAGCAGGGAGCTCACTGAACAGGAGTCAGCTCTTTTTTGGATAAATTTCCTTTGGCAGCTGAGTTGAGGATGGCCTGGAGTGGGGAGAGAACTTACGTAATTTGCCAGGTTCAGTTGGTCAGGATGTGTCAGAGGCAGGACTTGAATACAGGTCTTTGTGACTCCAAGGCCAACTCTGTCCATTACACCCCACTGTCTCTCATGACACTAGTTATTGACTTTATAAATTAAAATGAAACTTAATCAGCACTATAGGATGTCAGATCCTGATGTTTAGTTTTCTGTGACTGGTTGGTAGGGGGGTGTAAACCTTTTATTTGTTCCTTCTGAACATCCTCTAGCTCTTCCCCCCCTTCTGCTCCCCCCCCCCTTCATTGTAGGTATCTCTCCTGGGAGGAGAGTTGAACTATCCTCTTTTCAGGAGCAGCTACCTCCAAACAGAGCTCAGAATTGCTGGGTCTTTGCCTTCTCTGACCTGTGACAATTTCACTTAGCCTGATTCTCAGCAGGACCGGTTTGGACGATCTGTGCTTTTGGGGACAAGAGCAAAGTGTCATTGAGAGGCAGTGGGGTATACTAAATAGAGGGCCAAGCTTAGAGTCAAGAAGACCTGGATTTGAATCTTAAACTCTGACACAGACTAGCTGGGTGACCCTGGGCATTTCAGTGCCCCAGACTACTCTAAGACTATTTTAGAAGAGCTTCTGGTCTGCATTAGTGAAGGGATTTTTCCATACTGAGAGTTCTCTATACCAATTAATTCATAGGATCAGACCCTTCCTCTACTCCTCCTTTCTCTTCCCACCCCTACCCCCACCCACCCATCTACATTAAGAACACAGTCTTTGTGATACAGTATTCCTTCCAAAAAAGGAATACTCTTTAGGTCCACAGTCTTGAGTAGATCATTAATAATGAAAATACTGTTCTTTGATCCTATATTTTATACTATTAAGAATGATTAAATCCCAGCTGCCTTTAAAGAAAAGTATTTGAAGTATTAATCCATAGCTGCACTTCTTTCATGTGTAAGCACTTTGTTTTAACAGACAGGTATAAGTTACTTTTACTGAAAGAAAAAAATTGAGTTGAACAGCATGGTTATATTATACATGTTTATTCAGTTTATTTTAGTGATTGTTGAGTGCCTATTGAGTGTAAGATAATATGCTAGACATTGAGGATAAAAAGATGAAAATTAAGTAGCTTTTGCCCTCAAGAGGCCATGTTCTACTGAGGGAAACCCTATGTACATAAGTAAATGCAAAGTTTATACAAAAGTCATCCGAAGTAATTTCCAGAGGGAGGGAGTGTTGGTGACTGAGGACATCAAGAAAAGCCTCCTTGAGGAGGTGGCAGCTCAGTGTGCTTTGAAGGCATGCAGGGACTCTGCAAGGTAGAGGTGAGGAGATGAGACATTCCAGACATAAGGGAATGAACATGAGATGGAATACTGTATATGGGAAACAACAGCTGGCAGGCCAGGTGAGCTGGAACAGGAAAGTGCAGGGAAGAATGAAGGTAAGGAACTCAGACTAGAAAGGGATATGAGTACCGGTTTGTGATAGGCTTGAAGTGCCAGGCTGAACACTGGATTTGACCTAGAGGCAATAGGGAGCCTTTCAAGATCTTTGAGTAGAGGGAGTGGCGAGGTCTGTGTTATAGGAAGGCTAATTTTGCAGCAGGTATGGAGAATGGATTCCTGTCTTCTGTTGTTCAGGAATATTGAAATAATGCTTCATCCCAGATTTACTCAGGTATAGACTGACTAAAATCCTACCACCTCAGATAGGAAAATGCATTGCATGGTAACCCAGAACTAAATGCTAATGGCAAAAGCATTTGACAAAATACCATGCTGGTTTATGGTAAAAACCCTACAAAGCCTAGGTATAGAAGAGCCATTTTTTAATATGATAAAAAGTATAAATCCGAAACTAAAAGGTAGCATTATTTGCACTGGAGAAATACTAGATTTTTCAGTAAATATAAGAGTAGAACAAGTATGTCTTATTATTTGATATAGTTTTAGAATTGCTAGTAGTATCAATGACAAGAGAAATTAAAATAGGGACAAAGCATGATTTTGATAATTCTGACATTCAAAGAGAGCGGATATAAAGAAGAGACAAAACTATTCCTATTTGACAGAATAGGACAACTTATTTTAAAAACCCCAGAGAATCAGCAGAGAAACAGAGATAATTATGGCTTCAGTAAAGTAGTAGATACAAAAACACACCCAGAAAATCAATGGCATTTCTAACTAGCAGTAACAAAATTCAGGAGGAAATAATAGAAAGGGAAGTCCCATTCACAGTTATTACAAAATTCATAGATTGTCTGGGAGTCATTCTACCAAAGCACACTCAAGGCTTGTATAAATAGAATCACAGAACATTCATACGAAAAATCAAGAACAGTGATGATGAGAAGAGAGAATAGGAATGACTACCAAGTACTAGAAGTCTGTTCAGTGGGTTTAACTGGTCTTATTTGGTCTAATTTAGATGTGACAGTTTTCTTTTTCTAGTTTTATATTTTGGCAAAACAATGGAAATAAACAGTGTTTAAAAAAATTAAAGAAATAAAGAACAACATATATAATTAATAAGATGAGGTATCCTACAGCTTGTGGCTGGGAGTCACCAATATTCCCTGGAAGGCATGGGAGCCAGCAAGGAACTCACTCCATATGTCTACTGTTTGTGTGGCTAGCAGCAAAAAGATATTTTATAACTGTTCTTGTACTTGCCATTTGCTCTACCAGAAACTGTAACACACTAGTGGTTTACAGTGGAAAGAATGTTGGATTTTGAATAAGAGGACCTGGGTTCAAGTCCTATTGCTTTGACTTATTAAGTAGGGACAAATGACGATGGCTCTGGGCTTCGGTTTCCTTGGCTGTAAAATGGGGGTGGAAGTGGGGTGGTTTCAGGGGATGACCTCCAGGGTTCCTTGCAGCTCAAAATCTATGAGCCTGGGACTCAGTACTACTTCTACCTCAATTTCTAAGAGCATAGAGGAAAGTTTGGGATACTTGTGGATGCTCAAAGTTTCTTCCAAATGCTTGGAAAACTTTGGAATGCCTAAATTAAAGCCCTGATGTTTAATAGGTAACTCCCGTCAGCTGTATTGCATTCAGTGATTGAGCAGTTTGACCAGCCCATCTCCTGAGTGAACACCTTGCCATTGAAGGGTATTCATTCAGCCCTTGACTTCCAGGAAGAATGAGAGCATCAGGTCCCCGGCCTAGACACCTGGTTGAGAACATATTACTTGAGTATAGTGTTGCAGAACATTTTCTCTTTTTCTCCTTTAAAAAAGAAAAGTTCATGCTGTTATTACTGGGTTATAAGTTACTGTTTTTAAAGCATTTTTATTATATGCCTAAACTCTTTTCTCCCCATTTCGTCTAATGCCCTAATTCTTCTACATTTTCAGTCCATTCATGTATGTTTTAAAAAAATCTAACTCTGCATCTGGCAGCTAATGAAGTGGTCTACATATCTGGTAGAGTTCTAATGAAATAACCATCCCTTTTATAACAATACTATACTTCTGATGTAAAAATCTGTGGAGGGAACCTTTTTACTATAGAAACCTGGGTGCTTTGATGTTTGAGGTTTTATGGCGTAAGATTCTTAAAGCTGATTTTGTTTTTAGTAATCTTGCTAGGGTGGCTAATCAACTAATTTATTTAATTAGTATATTAATTTCTATTGCTTTCTTCCTTTCAAATGCTGCCCCTCAGCCCGTCTGGCATGTTTGATTATGACTTTGAGTAAGTTTGATTTGAATTAGTTCTTGTGCTGTGTTGTTTAGTGTGTAGACACCAGTATGCCTTTTTGAGACCTTTCTAACTCATAGTTTATCTGTTTAATTGTAGGTATGTATATTAGGTTAGGCTGGGAAGTTTTTTTAAAAAACAGAAAAACGTGATGGAGGTAACATTTCATTTAATAACTTAAGCAAAATTAAGTAATCTTCACTTCTATTCATTTTTATTTTATTTTAAATAGACCAACTTTACCTTATTTCATATTTAAACTGATTTCCTGGCTTTGCTTCATAAAGAGATTAATAGTATCAGATTTGGATATTTTGCTCTGGAGAAGTTTAATAAATGAAATTCACTTAATTCCTGTTATATCTCACATGCTGAAATACAAACTTCTAGTCTTTCTTTCCTGAACTTACTTGCCAATGTGTCTGAGTAATTATCAGTGATATAGTTACACAGCTAACAAATTAATGTAGAGCATGCCCTTTTAATCCAATCTCTCTAACACATAATTTCATAGTAATTTTTAAAAATTATAATGGCTTTTACAACCACCATATTTCTTACTGGGTTGTTATCCAAGTTTGCATTTTGGCAAGGTCTAGAGAATCTGCTCTTACAATTTTTAACTGATCCTTGCTCAATAATAAGTGGGTAAACAACTAAATTTGACACGTAGTCTAATGAAAAATGTGGATTTTTCTTAACCGAATAGTCTTTGTTATAGCTTATACCATATGCAGTCTCTGATTCTTGGAGCCTCTTTTTGCTGTTAAAATACAAATATCTTTTGTCTTTTTCACCACAGGATTGATCTGAAGCTAAACAAAAAGCCAAGAGCCGTAAGTATCAGTATTCTGAGGTCACTAGAGAGAACTGATCAGGCTTTGCTGGCTGACTCAAAGCTATGGCCTAGAGCAAAAAATGAAAAAGCAAGAAAGTTCTGATTGCTTGGTCTGTGTTTACTTTTGGAGCCTAGAATAGTTTTCTCAAACATATTTTTAGATGTTAAGAGTATCCTGTTCTTGCTTTATATCTTAAAAGAAAATAAATTCTCTAATAGTTTTACTTTAAATCATTTCCTTTTGATTCAACAATTAAGTAGTCAGTACTTGGGCTTTCCAAGGCAGGGGAGCTCAGCTGGAATGTGTGGTGCTACTGAAGACAAGCTTGCCCTTTCTGTGTATTTGGGGCTTCTTCTCTTTGCTTTGGTTCATTCTAGACACCCTTACCTTTGACCAGGTGTTGCTTCCCAATCCCTGTGGTTGGTTGGTCTCAAGGTAGATGCTGTGAGATGTGTGGATGGATGCATTAGTATTTTTCTCTGCCCTTTGCTGAGGGAAAAAATAGACTCAAAAGTGTGTTTGTCAAAAGAGTTGCGAAGGACAGGACATTGCTTTGAAATAAGCTCTTAAGCTCTGCAGCTTTCTGTACTTGAGTACTCTAACAAAAAATTGTTTTACAAACCTAAAATAATAAATCCTCGTGTTCTTCTGAGTTCATTTAGTGTAATAATTTGGAATTTTGCTTTTCTCCCCCACAGGATTATTAGAAGACCCATTAGTACAGAAGCTTACAGGCAGTAGAGCCCTGCCCTCATACAACTTCACCAAGATAAATACACCTCCACTGAGTGGCCATTAATGTCTGCGCTCCCAGACCCAGTGCCTGCATTGAGGAGTAGTTTGTTCTAAAAAGGGGTGAAAGAAAATCCTTTCTGTAAAACCACATCAGACCATTTACCTCGTGTCATTTTTAGTAACTGAACTGCAGGAAGACCAAGGCATGGTGCAGTCCTAGGTTGCCTACTTTCTGCATTTCTCCATTCTTGGGATTGAGTACTTCCCAGCACTGGCTGCTCTGGCTGCATCAGATTCTTCTGTGATACCCATCAAGAGATGTCTTGGGGTTTGTTTTTTGTTTTTTTGATGCTGAAACCAGCGCCCAGTTGTGTTTTGTCATATGGAGGCTGTAAATATCAGGCATTTCCTTATTCTGCCTTATGTGTTGTTTGTTGTTACTGTCTTGTTTTCTTTGAGGGGTTTGTTGTAATATGCTTGTACAGCTTATGGCTTCCTGCTGTTTTCTTTGGAATCTGATTATCTTTACTTGGCTTAGAGGCTGATATCCTAACACAAATAATCCCTAGTAGCATAAATAAAGTGGATGACTTGTCCTATTTGTCTTTTTGCAGGGGGAAGGTAGAGGGTTATTTAATTTTTTTCCCATCTTCTGAGTTGGAAGCAATTTCATGTACAGGAAAATGGTAATAGCTAAAAAACATAAGTTTGAATCCTTTTAAAAACCCAAGTTTTTATTATTTTGTATAAAAAATAAAATTTCACAGGCTTCAGTCTCTCTTCTCATGCTTTACTTTTGCATTTGAGATTTTTTTCCCATTGATTTTTATTTTCCTCATTTCATACCATACAGAAAATATCTGGTGTTTGACACTCATCTCTCTTTTCATCTTGTCTGTAATCCTTCAGTTGGCATTTACCCAATTCCACAAAGATCCATTTTTAAGTTTCTCTCTGCACTTCCATAAGATGTAAGGAAGAATTAAAGAATTCCATAGATAAATGACTTACATGGAGTTTCTTTTTATTTTTTTAAATGATTTATTTATTTTTAGTTTTCAACATTCACTTCCATAAGCTTTTGAGTTTTAATTTTCTCCCCTTCCCTCCCCACCTCCTTCCCCAAGAAGGCATGCAATCTGATATAGGCTCTACATATACATTCATATTAAACATATTTTCATGTTAGTCATGATGTAAAGAATTAGAACCAATGGGAGGAACCTCGAGAAAGAAGAAACAAAACAACAAAAGAAAAGGAGAGCAGATACATGCTTCCATCTGCATTCAGACTCATAAGTTTTTTGTCTGGATGTGGATAGCATTTTCCGTCATGAGTCTTTTGGAGTTTACAAGGAATTTCCCAAGTTGGAAAGCTATTGTAGGCTAGTTAACTGACTTACCTTCCATTTTAAGTTGTGGGGAGGGGGGCTAACAGGTTGATGAACCTGAAGAACCTAATGAAAACTGTATATAGGAACTTGGCAGTTTGATAATTTGACTTAAAGCAAATGTTAGGGTTTATTCAAAGGAACAAGACTTTGGGGGTTGGTATTTTGTTTTATTCCTTTTGTTGATGGGTCTTACTAGTGTCCATGTCTTTATTGGGGAAAATTTCTCATTTGCTAAATTCTTTTTTTTTTTAATGAGGCAGTTGGAGTTAAGTGACTTGCCCAGAGTCATACAGCTAGTAAGTGTCAAGTGTCTGAGGCTGGATTTGAGAGTGTCTGAGGCCAGATTTGATAAATTCTTGATAAATCCACAAAGTCCCGAAGTTTTTTTTGGTAATGGGATGAGGTTCCTGAAGAAAGGATGCAGTATCTTATTAAATCAACACCCTTCCCCCACCCCCAGTAAACAGCATTGTGTCTGTGCTCTCAGGCCAGCTTTTTGGATTTGGTGCCTCCTCAGATAGGCTTGGTTTTGTTAGCAAGAGTGCCTGCATCAGAGTTGTCAACAGAACAGTTAGATATTTATACCAGGAAGGATGGTGGGAATAAGAGGCATCTTGAAGAAAAACCTAGCAGCTGTCTCCTCCTCCTCTATCATACTGGCCCCTTTGTCCAGAGGAAAGGCCAGCACTGTTTCTCATGTATTAGTCATTGGCTTCTGTGACACTTAACCTAGCACACAGCAAAACAGTTGTATCCTCGGCTCATGATTTGGATTTTGTTAAGTGATTTAGTGGCAGCATACTTAAAAGGTGGTTTTTAAATATACGTATATTTAGTATTCACTCTCCTCACACCCACCACCATAGGAATTGCAATATCATTATAAAGCCAACTGCTTTCATTTGTTTTTTTCTATCAAAGGGATCAGTCCCATAGAGACTTTCTGGTTTTAGGTAGATCTGACTTGGAGTTATATGCAGCAGTATAAAAGAGATTTTTAATTCTAGGATTTCCCCTGAGACACGTGGAAGAACTGCAAGATGCCCCCCAAATACACTTGGAGTATTTGTCATTTTTGATTTAAACTAGAAAGTGCAGGACCATTGCCCAGCTTAATAAAGAATAAATGCTTATCCAGTGTCATCTTCGATCCAAAGAAAAACTTGGGGAATGTAATAGAACGGGAACACATGGAGAGAGCACCAGGAGCTCATAGCAAGCAGGGCCTTGCAGGTAAATATTTGTTGGTTTAATGTGATTGGGGAGATTGGTTACCCAAAACCTTTTCAAATTTAATCCTTCTGGTTTTCTGAATGCCCTAGGGTTCCCTCTGTTCTTGGCAGTTGTTAATGGCAGAGGTTAAAATACTCAGAAGTACTACCACAAACTATAGAAAAACTCTTTTTAATAGTACTGATATCTTGGGGGAATTTGAGTTTCACTTAAGGACTCTGGTGGATTTGTTGAGACAATTGTCCTAAATGAACAGCAGTGAGTCGCTTTATGTGAAGTGCTTAGAAATATGTAGGGTACTATGTAGAAGTCAGCTGCTACCTCCCCTTCCTTTTAGCTCCCTTCTCCCCATTTCCCAGAAGCCAAATAGTCAGGGTGGGGAACTTTCCCTGTTTTTTCCTTTCTTCCTCATCCCAACCTTTGCCTTAGGGAAATGTGAATTTGTTCCTTCTTACCTCATTTCCCACTCTGTAAACTGGCTTACATTTGAGACATTTCAGAGAAAAGCTTTCCAAGCAGTTTGTTGGTATGCTTTTTGTTTCATTATTTATAGGGGGAGGTGACATTTTTGCAGTCAAAAATCAAAATGTCTTCATCCGTGAATGCCTTCTTGTGGTGTATTCTTGTGTAATATAGGGCTTGCCTTCTGTCTTTGGGCCTTGGGAGGTCCAACATGATGGGAATTCAGATTTGTATGTCATAGTTAGTTACAACTGGGCACTTCTCTGAACAGCATTCATTTCATCCTTACAAATGGAAGATTCCAAGCAGTGACCAGGAAAAGAAATCAGTTGAGCCTACAACAAAAGTGTTAGTCTAGCCACGTGTAAACTCACTCGAGCAAAGGGGCTTTTCTCAGGAGCTGAACTGGACAGGGATATTCAGGGTGGTAGCTGGTCTGTGGGTCTTTGGGAATCTTCTGAGTGCTTTAAAGAGTAGGTGAAAATAAACCTCATTAGTGCTAAGGGCGTTGGGGTTCCGTGTAGCTAAACTGAACTGGGCAGATTCATTACTTTCAAGTATTTAACTGGCACAAGACTAAAGTGTGGTAAGTAGAGATCCTCTGGGACCCACTTTAATGAGCAAAAAAGAATGATGTATAGTTTTATCTGTGAATGTTTTGAAAAGTTTTTCTTAAGATATTTAAACAGCCTTCTTACTATCTTTGCACCATTTTCTTAGAAAGCCTTTTCTTCAATATTGTACAGAAATAAATTTCCAATTCCCATTTCCAGCCTAGACCTTAGCGATCACGTGGTCCAGATGAAAAAAGAACCCTAGAAAGAAGGAATGAGCAGCAGAGCTGGACTAGAACCCAGGTCCTTGGTCCCCCTGTCCAGTGCTCTTCCCATGAAGTTTTATTGTCATCAGATGCTTGCCTGAAGCTGGCTTTTGTTACATCTTTGACAAGAAAGGGTATGCTAAGCAAGTGAAATCAGTGAGAGGGCAGGGGGAAGGTTTAGTTTGTGGATTAAAGCAAACAATTAGCATATTTTAAGCTCATTAAGGAAAGTAGTTAATAGTTTAATATTAGATTCAAAAGTAATACCAACTCTTTTAGAAGGTTCTGTATTTGGATTTTACATCAATTTACGGATATTCTCCCATCCCTCCCTCCCCCCCTCCCCCAACCAGTTTATTCCATTTTCATTCAGGAAGCTTGCTTACGTGTGGCTTTTGTTCTGGTGATGCCTTAGGTTAGGGGGTTCCCTACTTTGGGTGGGAAGGGGAGGAAGGTCAGGTTTTTTTTTGTAAACACTTGTTTTTCCCCAAGAGGTGTCATCCTATTTACAGTGCCTAGAAATGGGGTATGTGTGAGTGTGTGTATGTGTGTGTATGTGGCAAATGCCTCTGGAAATAAGAGGAAAGGATTGGAACAGCCATTCCTTCCATTTGCAATCAGAACAAGTTGTATTGAAGTCTTTTGGTTTCATAGGTGATGTTCTTCATCATTTGGAACAAAGTGGTGTGTGTTTTAACTTTGATAATCCTGCTCCTCTAGAATAAAGGTTCTCTTTCACTCTCTGAAATTTGTTTTGGTGAAATTGATGGTGGCTTTCGATTATCCAAAGCTGAACCAATTTGCTGTCTTATTTCCTCTGTTCCCCCCACATCACACACTTCTATTTCTCAGTTCTGTGGCTCTGGATTACCCAGGCCAATGAGGTATCATTCCACATTCAATTCCATCACCTTTCAGAGAGAATGTCAAATAAGAGTGGACCTTCTTTCTGCCTTAGTTGTTCCTTGCCCTTCCTGTTGCTGCATTTCAGATGCTGCTTGTGAAGTTAGGACTTCGTTATCCAGAGTTTTTTATTTTTCAGTTGCTTTGAAGAAGATAAATTACTTGAATTTCGCAAATCATGTGGAGCTGCTGAGAGAATAGATAATCCTTGAATTTGAATTTGTGTAAGAGTTCTCAAAACCATTTGACAAAGATTATCATTTCAAAAATCCTTGTAGGTGAAGGTGCTCCTTCCATCTTCTCAGATCCTAAACCTTTCCTTGCCTTAGTAGATCTTCCTGAGTAGACTGAAAAATCCATGCCCTGGTGATGGGCCTTTTGGAATGTAGCTTGCCTGGTTTTGGGACAACAATCTTTCACCAGGTTGTACTCCAAGTTTTCATCTTGCTAGGACCTGTCAGAGTTTATGTTTGGCTATCACAGAGCTCAGGGTCTCTCCATGGCATGAGGAAGTCTCCCAAATTCTCTGTTGGACCCCTTGCAGTAGGTAGAGCCAAAGTTATCCTGTTTAATAGTTGGAGGAGTTTGAAGCTCAGAGAGTGTAACTAAAATCAGGCTCCTAGAAGATGGGAGCTGGAAGAGGTTTTGGAGTTCTTATAGTACAAAATCCCACCCCATCCCGAGTGTCAAAGAGGGTAAGAAGACAAGATCACACAGGAGGTCAAAGGCAGAGATGGAACTCAAACCCCTATTTCTTGAATTTCTTGACTCCAGCGTTCTTTCTGTTACGCTGTGGGTCAAAGACTGCCAGTTTCCTATTGCCAGTGCAGGAAAGCCAACAAATTCCCCAGAACAAGAATAGTAGTGGTTATCATAAGCACATTTGTGAAAATATAAGCAAGAATTACACTGCTTTATTATCAATAGTCATAGGAGACAATCTCTTGAAAGACACGGAAAGCCCCTGTACAACAAGAACGATCACTTCATCATCCTTTCCTCTTTGCAGAGATTTACCTGTCCACTGGGGTTTGTGTGGTACAGGAAAGCAGAGGTCTTACTATTACCAGTAGGTACCAGTAGATGGCAGGCCGTGCTCCCATAAATGAATGGTTCTGCCCCCATTCTTCAGGAAGGCACCTGGAAAAGGGAACAGGAATATCATGGGCCTCTAGAAGAACAAGTCTTTGAAGC